GGGCCCCGACGGGGGCGCGGGGGACAGGGCCGGGGGAAGCCGCGAGGCGCTGCCGCCGTCGGGCCAGCCGGACGACGAGGAGTGGTCGGAGGAGGTGAAGAAGCAGCAGGAGCAGCAGCTGCGCCGCGAGCTCCTGGACCAGTACCACCTGCTGCTGATGGAGCGGAACCGCTACCGGCGCTACAACGCCTACCTGCAGCACCGGATCTGCGAGTCCCTGCGCAAGAAGAAGGGGCTGGAGGCGGCAGAGACGCCCGAGCGCGCGGCCCAGCCCGAGGCCCCCGAGAAGGAGCAGGCCTACCTGCACTACCTGGCCATCCTGGAGGAGCTGAGGAAGCAGGAGGTGGACGACCTGGAGTGGTACCACCAGGAGCTGGGCCAGCTGAAGCAGCAGTGCCAGGAGAAGCAGGTCCGGGTGGAGAAGGAGTGGCGCCGCTTCCAGGCCCTCAAGAAGCAGGTGGTGATGCAGGTGATGGGCAGCTGCCGCCTGCGCGGCGGGCGCCAGGCCGCCCTGCGGGAGGTGGAGCAGACCCAGGCGCTGGAGGACAAGAAGGAGAAGGAGATGAGCGCCGTGCGGCTGGAGAACGTGCAGCTGAAGCAGAGTCTGGTGCACTTCCAGACCAGGATGAGGGCTCAGGAGGACCTGTCCGAGGGCCTGCTGCTCATCGACTTCGAGCAGCTCAAGATCGAGAACCAGACCTTCAACGAGAAGGTGGAGGAGCGCAACGAGGAGCTCTCCAAGCTGCGCAACAAGGTGACCAACAACGTGCAGACCATCACCCACGTGAAGGAGAAGCTGCACTACGTGGACATGGAGAATGCCTGCAAAAAGACGCAGCTGTTGGAGATCGAGTCTCAGGTGTCCCTCGGGAGGGACATCCTGACCAGGACCAAGCAGGCCCGTGACAGCCTGCGGATGGACAACATCAAGCTCTATCAGAAGAGCGGGCTTCTGGGTAAGGAGTCGCTCCTCCGGGATTTGGAGGTAAAGGTGGACAAGACCGCGGTGCTGAGCCAGCGCCTGGAGTCCCTGAAGCGCCACCACACGGGGCTCATGCTGTCCTGCAAAGGTGTGAAGCAGAAGATCCGGGAGGCCAAGGCCTTCCTCCCCTCCTAACCCCGGGGCAGGAGGGCGGGCAGGGCAGAGCGCAGGCCCGCTCAGCACACTGTCGGCTCCCCTCCACGCACACGCGCTCTACTTGCTGCTGCTCTCTTCAGAAGCCGATGGTACTTGGGATGGAAACCTATTTTTGAATCCCATCGGGTTTTAGCTTCCAGATCAGGGCTGAGCACAAAAATTGGGCTAGCAAAATATGTGATTAAGCAAAAACCGGTCTAGACAGGACCAGTGACTGACTTCTCACAGTACTCAGTCAGCTGTCAGCTGTCCTCACACTGAGCAAGTCTGTCATTTCAAGCACCTAATCGAAAGGAGCACTGTCCCAGTATCTAGAAGGAGCCTTCAGTCTCACCAATGGGCAGCATTTAGAAAAATTCCTCTGCAATAAGCCATTAACTTCTCTTTGGACTTATTAAACTATGTAGAATCACTGTCGCAGTCAGCAGCTCACTAATTCCCCTAATCTTGTATCATATAGGACTACTTTCTAGGGTGATGTAGAACAATCCCAGGAAAGGAGAGATGAGCAAGAAAGGGGCTGACATTCTATCTTTCCAGTCACAGGGCTCTCAACTAGTTTCTGTGCTTAGAAGATACTCCCATGTTGACTGACTGCCTTGCGTGGCTTTTTTTTTTTTTTTTTTGTCAATCATAGGGCTTGAACTCTGGGCTTGGGCGCTGTCCCTGTTCTCTTCAGCTCAAGGTAAGCGCTCTACCGCTTGAGCCACAGCACCATTTCTGGTTTTCTAGTGGTTTATTGGAGATGAGTCTCACAGACTTTCCTGCCTGGCTGGCTTTGAACTGTGACCCTCAGATCTCAGCCTCCTGAGTAGTTAGGATTACAGGCGTGAGCCACCTGTGCCCAGTTCCTTGTGTGGCTTTTCCAGTTAGGTCTGGAGTGGGGGGGGGAGTTAACCAAGAAAGAGCAGCACATTCACTAGTTAAGAGAATTCTAGACCCTGGGCATTCTGTTTGCAAGGTCACACTGCTATTCTACCTATAGCCACTGGTTCTCTACTCCTACCCCTCTTCCTGCACTACGTGCACCCCACTCAGAAAAGAGCCTAGGAGGGGGGCTGTGGGGCCCGGTGGCCACCACACCGGTTGTAGGGTTAGGGCATTAATCGAATACCAGTCTAATACCATTAATCTAATACCATTTTCTGAATGTCTGCTGTGTGCCACTCACTGATCAGCACCTATATTGTATTAAAAAATAATTGCAAGCTGGGCGCTGGTGGCTCTTCCTTGTAATCCTAGCTGCTCAGGAGGCTGAGATCTGAGGATCGCAGTTCAAAGCCAAGGCCGGGCAGGAAAGTCCATGAAACTCTTATCCTCCAATAAACACTCAGAAAACCGGAAGTGGCGCTGTAGCTCAAGTGGTAGAGCACTCGCCTTGAGCTGAAGAGCTGAGGGACAGCGCCCAGGCCCAGAGTTCAAGCCCTATAACCGACAAAAAATAATTGCAGGGGGCTGGGAAGGTGGCTCAATAGTACAGGGCTTGCTTTGCATGCATGAGGCCCTGGGTTCGATTCCTCAGCACCAGATAAACAGAAAAAGCCGGAAGTGGTGCTGTAGCTCAAATGGTAGAGCGCTCACCTTGAGCTGAAGAGCTGAGGGACAGCGCCCAGGCCCAGAGTTCAGGCCCCATGACTGATAAAAATAAATAATTGCAGGAAGAGAAGGATGAAATGCCAGGAGCAAGTGGGTAGCACAGCAGAACAGGGAAGGTAGTTACCATCACTTCCGGCAAAGACCCCTCTGCCCCAGCAAACCCTGGAACTAGGGTTTTTCCTATGAGTGAAAAGCAGAGGCCATGGGTACTATCGCAGACGCGTCCCACCATGCCAGAGACTGGACCCAGACACATTTGAGGCAAACATTATATGACACTAGATCTTTGCTTTTATTTTTCCGAAATTAACACATTTCATCAGTAAAAGGAAATCATTTGGGGTGACAGCACATTTGAGATTTTTAAATTTTGCAAGTACAAGTTCACCTGCAGCCAGAACGTGGTTTTGCCACTAGTCTCGTATGCTGTCCACAATATCAGGGTTAATGTCTGTCTGTGGCGAGTGCACAGAGCCATGGAGCTGTGCCAGGACCACTTGGTTTTTTAATTTAAATGACTAAATATGTGCATACTTTAATGATTGTATGCACACGTGCATACATACACACCCCACAGTCCTGGCATTTTAACTCAGGGCCTAGGCACTGTCCTTGACCAAGTTTGGCCAAGGCTAGGGCTCTACCACTTGAGCCACAGCTCTACTTCCAGCTTTTTGTTGGTTGATTAGTGATAAAGAGTCTGATGGTCTTCCTGCCCAGGCTGGCTTTGAACTGCGATCCACAGATCTCAGCCTCCTGAGTAGGATTTACAGGCGTGAGCCAACAACGCCCAGCATGTGTAGGGGTTTTTTGAGGCAGGGTCTTGCTATGTCTGCCTGGTCTCGAACTTGAGATACTCCTGTCTCCCAGGTGCTGGGACTATGGACACATACTTGTCATACCCAGTTCATTTTTTAAATTCACAACTTTTGGCATGTAAGATATAAAGTTTCCACAGGAAAGGCCTGAGTCTAGCTGCCTGTGGGAATGTTCTAGGTTTTTATGGTGCAGTTCTTTTCAAACTCTTGGCTTTTAAGATTAATCTTTACAAGTCACCAGGCTGTGGCTAAGACCTTGTTTTAAGCTTTGGTTACAGAAAAAGATGATGAGGCTTAGAGAACTTGAGAAAGTTTCCCAATGGCTGGCTGGGAAGTGTGGTTTCTTTCTGGGTTTCTCCCAAGTGCTCTAGATCAGGGGCAAAAGGCTTCAGAAACAATGTCTAAAGACAAATGAGGAGGCTCTGGGGCTAGAGCGACGATCCCAAGTGCAGGGCTGGCTCATTCTGTTGTGATGTCTCGGGAGAAGGCCGTTCCCCCTGTGAGGCCTGGGCACACTGGGAAAGGAGGCTCTGGCAGCTGGTCCAGGGAGGTGGGGCTTTGTGTAGCCCCACCCAGGGGAGCCAGCTGGTTGCAGGGGCAGAGGGCAGTGCTGGCAGAGCAGACAGGAGCCATGTGGTGCTGAGGCCTCTCCAATAGCCAGGCCATTTCCCAACTTCCTAGGCAGGCAGGCAGGCAAGGGACTAAGTAAATAACATCAGCAAATACTTGAGTTCCTATCTGGGACCTGAAAAGCAAATCCTATTCCCTCCCCAAATCCAAATTCTCCATGTATTGATGTGAGCTCACCTGACACCTGGCCCTGGGCTCAAAGGCTGCCCTCTGTTGGCCAGGTCCCTCCCAAGGGGAGGACCAGCGGGGAGCTGCCGCTATCCCCCCTCATTCAAGTGAGTGCCTCTGTGGCAGGCACAAGTGCTCACACCCAGGGCAGGATGTCTGGGTCTCCCGCGGCCCATTAGCAAGCGCCTACGCACGGGACACTGGGAGGCAGCACCAGGCTGCACACCGGGCCCTGCACCTGGGAAGAGATCAGAACTGCAGCAAGGCTCGAGCAGCCCTCTAGGGGTCACGTTCGCTTGGAGAGGCGGGGGTCCCAGGCCCTGTCGTGAGAAACTGAGCAACTTCTGTGTCACATGGCTGGAGAACCGCCGTAGAGCTGCTGTGAAATGATGTGCAGTACCCGTGGCGAGCGCGCGTCCACCTCTCAGCACGACTGCTGTCAACCCTGCTGTCTGTCACCTCACCTCAGCCTACGAGGACGAGGCCAAGAGGAGAACTTTTGGCTTGCAGTCAGGGGATCTGCAGTGGGGCGGGCCATCAAACTACTGTGGCTCTGTGCAAAGACCTCCAGCACTGTCCACAGGTGACGGGACGGCACTCTTTCACACTCATTTCACTGAGTAGTGAGGGCCGAGTTGTGAACACTCGGTCTCATGGGAACTAGCCCACAGCTGGCACAGAACCTACATGCCTGCAGACCAGGTGGAAGGCTGGGCGGGGGGGAGGCAGGAGGAGGGCAGAGAGAAGGAGGAGGGAGTCTAAAGCTGCAAGCAAGCCAGACTAAGGAGAGGTGCCCAACTTGGAGGGGGCACTGAACCCTCGAACCCCAGGCCTAAGCTACCATAACTGCCATACACACACATACATATGTTTGTATATATGTATATATTATTTTTGCTGGTCACGGGACTTGAACTCTGAGCCTGGGCGCTGTCCCTCAGCTCTTCAGCTCAAGGCTAGTGCTCTACCACTTGAGCCACAGCGCCACTTCTGGCTTTTTCTGCTTATGGGGTGCTGAGGAATTGAACCCAACGCCTCATGCATGCGAGGCAAACACTCTACCACTGAGCCACCTTCCCAGCCCCACAGCCCTATATTTTTGATGAACAAATCCAGGAAGCAAATTTTTATATATTCAAGCATTATAATAGAATCGAATTTTGGCCATAAAATTCAAAGAATTTTAACTAGAAACCAACAGTGAGCATAAGTAACAATTTTACATGACTTTTATTTAATAAAACCACATATTTACAATTCAAAAAGTCCTACTTTGAAACACATTACTAAATAAAATTAAAGGTGACCTGTACAAGCAATGAAAACATGATGCGTAGCAAGGGTTACCAACAGTTTTCTATCAATAAGGTGTTCAAAATAGTCAAAAACTGAGCAGTTAAAAAGTACCTTGGACGTGAATGCTGTTTCCCCAGCAGAGCTGCGGCATGGCGGCCTCGAGTCTGAAACTCAGGGGAGGTGCAGACTCCCTTGGGTGCCCCTTGGGGTCCCGCTCACCTACACAGTGTCGACAACGCACAGGAGTATGACGCTGCGTTCGCCAGAGGCCGGCGGCACCTCCAGAGGGGCCGAGCGCCTGGTGGGCCGCGCCGCGCCGCGCCACGCCGCCGTTCCCTGAGCATGCGGGAAGAGCTGTCTGCACCTGGGTGCAGCCGGGAGTCTGGTTAAAAAATGTCACGATGCCCACGCTTAGGTCAAACGGGTGAGGCATGGTGAGCACTGGGTTGTGAGCACTCGGGAGTTTCACAACAGCCTTCCGAACAGACTGCCCAAGGCCCTTGTCACTCACCTGTGCAAATGAAGGATGATCGTTATGTACAGTAAGAAAATATATACATCTTTTAAAGAACAGAACGTCCACATTGTGGACCAAAACTAAGTAGGTCTGGGGGGAAGGCCAGCCCAGGGCTGGACAGTCCACTTCCCACAGGCTGCGGGGCCTGGGCTACATTCAACATCTTGATGTCTGGAATGGCTGGGTCTGGAGGCCGCTGGCTGCTGGCCAAGACAGCGCCTCCTCCAAGAGGTCAGGCTAGGCCACCTTGGAAGGCTGAGGCAGAAAGCGGTGCCCACGGTGCCCTGCAGTCCCCTGGGACAGCCCGGGAAAGGGGACACCAAGAGCAAGGGCACGTGGCAGAATGGGATGGAGGCTTGAGGAGGGCCCGGGCTGCCACCCCAGCGAGGGCGGGTGAGCAGAACCTCACAGGCCTGCGGCGGCGGCAGAGCCGCTCTCCCCGCTGCACGCGCACCGCCCGAGCCTCTCAGGGCTCCCGACATGAGGGGCTGGCTCAGGGGAGGGGGCTCATGGACAGCGTGGACAGCTGGAACGCAAGCCACGCACGTCCTTGCGGCCTGAGTCTTCCGCTCTGGCCTAGCAGTTCACAAAAATGACAAGGAATGCTAGAACAAAAAAAACTCACCGATGAACTTGGGGAAGTGGGGGAGGGGCTGGTGCTGGGCACTGAGGACGCCAAGGCCGCCCGGCTGTCAGAGAAGCCGCTCGGTCCTTGGACCAGCACGCACGCGAAGACCCTCCGAAGCCAAACGTGTGTGGCCACTCCACTCAGGACTAACCGGGCCGTCTGTGAGACAAAGGCAGAGGGGGCCGCGGCGAGAGCAAGGGGCGTGCGTGCCACCGCTGCCCCCGACGCAGCGGCGTGGCGCTCTCCCCTAGCCTCTGCCGCCAAGGCTGCACCAGCCCCCGGGCCTGCCTCTATGGCTGTGCTCGACGGCGCGGGCACCGAGGGCGCACCTGCAGCCTTCCTGCTGTGATTGGTCAAGGCAACATGGTCAAATGTCAACACGAAGGTCCAGCAGGTCCCCAGGAGCTCATGAGCACCCCAGCAAGCAGCCTTAGAGGGCCCATCTTCCTTTCTGCTGTCTTTGGTGGGCAGATTTTTAAAAACAGGACCTCCAGTTCTGGAAAGATTCTCTCCATACCTACACCAGCAATTTCTTTCTTATCCAAAACAGGAGCTAATAGCATCTCCGAGGCTCCCCAGGAACACTTCTCGTGCGTCTTGGCTGAGACAGACGGTAATGTACGTCCAGGCGCTTGGCATGGCAGCTTTACGACGTGACTTGTGCTGGAGGAACGCGAGGGAGGGGACGGCCACCGCCCCGTCTTTGCCCCACATGGGGACCGTGGTGGCTGGCCTCCGCTGGTGCCAGGCCACAGTCCACAGAGCCACTTAAGGCGAGGCCCGGGCTTAATGCTTTGATTTAGTTTGTTTTTTAATTCTTTAAATGCCGTTTGGTTTTGTTTAAGGCCAACTCCAGCATCGGGACTCTGACAGGCAAACAGCCTGCTTTCCTGTGGCCAGTGTCAGTGTGAGAAATCACAGGTCTGCTTGGAGACCTGCCTTGCGCAGAGAGCGGGGCCGGCACGGGCTCAGTGTCGGAGGGACGGGCTTCCTTTCTCCATCTCCCGGCTGTCTTTCTGTAGTGCAGCCAGCACCTAGAGTCAAGGACAAGGTGGCTGGGGTGAGCCTGCCGCGGGCCGCGGGCACAGCGTCAGCAACTCAATACCCACAACATCTGCGCCAAGGACCAGCAACCCCTCCTGGCCAGTCCCTGGCCAACCCCGCTCTCTGCCCTCTGGGCCTCCTACCTGCATCCAGGCATCTTTCTAACACACCACCTCTGGGCAATCTGCCCCTATTTCCACCGGCCACAGAGCCAGCATCAGAGCAGGGGTGAGGTGAGGCCTGCCGCTCTCCGGCCAGCCCTCCTCCCTCCCGCCTTCTGCACTGTGAGCCTGCCGTGCACACCTAGCAGGGCTGGACGGATGCCGGCTCTCCCGAATCACCTTCCTGCCCCCTGGCTCCTCACTCTGCTTCCCCTGAGCTTGCACAGCCGTGCTCAACACGACTTAGTCTGTGGTACTTATGCTAGTGCTGGGGCTGGAACCCAGGGCCTCCCAAACAAGCTCCATTTTTTCACTCACGGCTGGTGCTCTACCACTTGAGCAATGCTCCAGTTCTGGCTTTTCTGGTTATTTGGAGATAAGCGTCAAGGATTTGTCTGCCCCTGGCTGGCTCTAAACTGTGATCCTCAGATCTTGGCCCCACGAGTAGCAAGGATTCCCAGTGAGCCACCAGCACTTGGCTGTTAGCTTTTATTTGAAAATCAGATTCTATCTACTACATGAGACTGATTGCCCAACAACAGCCGCGGAGTCACAGGCCCGAGGGGGCCCATGGGAGGGGTGAGGCCCCAGCTACCGTCTTTAGGCCCACACCGAGAACCCTGAAACACAGCCAGACAAGCTGGCGAGGACAAACCTACAGAAGCCACCTCCGCCGTGCACTGCTCACCTGCCTGGGCAGCCTACACTACCATCCCGAATGATCAGAGGTGAAACAGAAACGTGGTGCGTGGGTCTCAAATAAGCTGTATGAAAGGAGTGACCACAGACAAAAGTCCCCGTCCACCTTGAGTGAACAGGACCACCAACACTGACGTTCTTCCTTTTATCTGTGCCAGCACTGGGGCTTGAACTAAGGGCCTGGGTGCTACCCCTTATCTTTTCCACTCAACACTGGCACTTTACCATTAGAACCATAGTTATACTTCCAGCCCTTTTCTTCGGGGATGGGGGGGGGGGGAGATGTTAATTGAAGAGTCTCACAGACTTTCCTGGCTGGGCTGACTTCTAATCTAGATCCTCAGATCTGAGCTTTCTGAGTTGCTAGGGTTACAGGGGTGAGCTACCAGTGCCTAGCTATCATTGATTACTTTGAAGGAGCTCACCAGTATCTCAGACTCAAGCACAGATCTAATAGAAATGCCACTGGCATGCGAACCTGTCATTCTATTGAAAATTACGAAATGTAGCATAGGCTGCCTCTCTTCTGGACAGTCTCTCCTGATCCCTAAAACACGAGAAGCAGCATGGTAAAATCCAGGTTTAATGCTTCCTTCTGCACGTTAATGCACTCGTGTGCACGTGTGCCGGTAGATACAGGTGGGCTGGAGAAGGCCTCAGGTACAGCTTCCTCCCTTAGAAGGCACCCGGGAAGGAAGCAGTGAGAAGACCCAGATTTGTGACTAGGAGGAGAGGCCCGGCTTTCTCTCTTGACTTCAGAAAACCACTATAAGCCACGAGCCCGGAAGATGGCCTCCCAAGGAGGCCTGTGAGCTCCATGCTCTGCCGCTGCCATCCGGACATGCTGGAGCCTGGGGAGCCGGGGCCCAGGCCTCCGCTCACACTGCACCTTTGTTAGTTACCGAGCGGCACTCTCCTCTGCCAGCCCTGCTCATCCTGCGTGCTGCAACTGACTTACTGAAACACAATCCTCCCTTTAGCGGATGCGCTTCAATGATTCCCAGCTCTCCACAGAGACGTACAGAGCTCACCAACAGTCAACTGAGAGCGCCTTTGTAGCCCAAGAAGAAAGCTCTGTCCCTTTGGCCACCATCGCCTCCTCCTGCCACCTTCCTCCCCCCCCCCCCCGCGGCTCAGGGGACCATCCATGCCCTCCCGTCTCCCCACAAACGCCTGTGTAGGTGTGTATGAATGGACGCACTCAGTGCCGGGGCCTGGCTGTTCTCACGGAGCATGCCCATTCAAGGGCACATGGCAGCCTACCATTCCCGTTAGTGAACTCAGCTTATTTAGTAATTCAGAAACATAACTCCAAGCCGGGCGCTGGTGGCTCACGCCTGTAATCCTAGCTACTCAGGAGGCTGAGATCTGAGGATCGAGGTTCAAAGCCAGCCCGGGAAGGAAAGACCGTGAGACTCCTATCTCCAATAACCCACCAGAAAACCGGAAGTGGCGCTGTAGCTCAAGTGGTAGAGCGCTTGCCTTGAGCTGAAGAGCTGAGGGACAGCGCCCAGGCCCAGAGTTCAAGCCCCACGACCGACAAAAAAAAAAAAGAAAGAAACATAACTCCAGGCTCAGGCTCGTAAGCCGGGGGAATATCTGCGGGGCCACAGCAGCATTTGTTCTCCCAACAGCCCCCAGGAGGAATGGAGCCACCAGCTAGATGCGGCACTGTGCACGGGGACAGGAGGGGCAGGCGGGAGGTCAGGTGCGAAAGGGAAACCTCTGGTTAATAAAGAGGTCCTGGATTATATGCCTTAGCAGGTGAAGTGCATGGTATGTACACATACCATGGTGTGCAGATGCGGTGAAGCTGCAGAAAAACACAGCCTGCCGAGAAATCAAAGAACTGTAACCTGACTGCACACGAAGTAATCTTGCCAACAAACCTCGACTCGGGGAAGGAGTTGGGTCAATCGGCAGGACTGCAGAGGCGCTCAGGAGCAACCAGCACAGGGAGCCGTGGAAGCGGGCGGGAAAGGCTGGGGACAAAGAGCCTCTTTCTTCCACAAGCAAAGGGGCCGCGCAGGGACGGGTGCTCTATGAGGACTGAAAGATCTTCCACCCACACGCCACATGGACCTCATTTGGATCCTGATTCAAATAAAATGCATTAATGACACCTGAGACAATCAGAAGCATAAAAGCTCTGGGTCTGATGACAGGGAGGGCTTGTACTGGAGACAGCAGCGCAGTTATGCAGGGTCTGGAGAGACAGTCACACACCGATGACACACTGCTACGGCTCCCGCTTCTGGTCACAGGAGACTTGAGCAGAAGTTGGGCACAGCTGAACTGTGAATCATAGTTACTGCACAGTATCCCTACTCTTGCTTAATTTTGCATGTATTTTACATCGTCTTCCTCCTCCTCCTCCTCCTTTTTGTGGGTTGTTGAGCTCTGGACCTGGGTGCTGTCCCCGAGCTCTTCAGCTCAAGGCAAGTGCTCTACCACTTGAACCACAGTGCCACTTCGGTTTTCTGGTGGTTTATTGGAGGTAAGAGTCCTACAAATTTCCCTCCAGGCTGGCTTTGAACTGTGATCCTCAGATCTCAGCCTCCTGAGTAGCTAGGATTACAGGTGTGAGCGACCAGTGCCCAGCTATTTTATACCTTCTTATTAATAAACAAGTTCAATCATCAGGCTTTGTTGGCTCATGTTTGTAATCCTACCTACAGAGGAGGTGAAGACTGGAAGAATTCTGGCTTTAGGCCAGCCCAAGCCATTTTTGAGACCCCCACATCAATTATGGTGGTCACTCCGGTCATCCCAGCCACATGAGAAGCATAAACAGAAGATCACTGTCTAGAGTGGCCGAGGCATAAGTTTGAGACATTATCTGAAAAATTACTATAGCAGAAAGGGCTAGGGGCAGGGTTTAAGTAGTAGAGTTCCTGCATAGCAATCTAAGGTTTGTAGTTCAAACCCTAGTACTAGAAAAAAACATAATGAAATGAAGGAAGGGGAGGAAGAAAGGAAGGAGAGAAGGAAGAGAGGAGGGAGGGAGGAGGGAGGGAGGGAGGGGAACTATCAAGAATAGGCGCAGAAGGGCTAGGAAGGTGGCTCAGTGGTAAAGTGCTTGCCTTGCATGCATGAGGCCCTGGGTTCAATTCCTCAGCACCACATAAGCAGAAAAAGTTGGAAGTGGCGCTGTGGCTCAAGTGGTAGAGTGCTAGCCTTGAGCTGAAGAGCTGAGGGACAGCGCCCAGGCCCAGAGTTCAGGCCCCACGACTGGACCAAAAAAAAAAAAGAATAGGCGCAGACTGGCATACATAGAAAATCATCAGCCTCCTCAGCTACTGACTGAGGATGACTTTGAGCACAACCAGGCATCAAGAACCATGGTTGTTGTTGAACTTTTCAGTGTGCTAAAATGTGGAGCCAGACAGTACTGTGAGACCTCTGAGAAGCATGGGGAAGAATGGAGCCGCAGGTCCAGACTGGAGCTGCTTAGTCACTGCGGCTGCCAGGAAGGACTGCAGCGCGTCACAAGGAAAGACAAGCGCTGGGCTTCGCCTAGGGACCATCGCCTCTCTGGGCTTCCTGAAACGGGCCAATCCCACCTACTTCCCCAAGTACAGAGCCTGCCTCAGGCACAGTCCAGGCAGGGCAGCCGGCCAGCCCTGCTGTCTGCCCCTGCAGGACTGTGATTCACCACATGACTTCTAGTATGCAGAGAAGATGACAGCTCAGCTCTGAGGCTCCCGATGCCGCTGCGGGGGGACGGCTTTCCCACCCGTACCCCTCCAGCTAGCAGCCGGCACAAGACACATGGCCCCGCACACCCCCGGGTGGGAAGGAGAGGAGACCCACGCACCTGCGCCCACTTCTTGTTGCGACTCTGCATCTGGATGGCGGCGATTGCTGCGAACACCTCCTCTGCCGGCAGGTCCTCGGGCAGCCTTGTCAGGAACTGAGCGCTGTGGATGAAGTCCATCCTGGCCAGGATGTCCTCGAACAGCTTCAGGATGCCCAGGGCTGTGCGGAAGAGGAACTCCTCCCCGTCCCGGCAGAACACGTCCCACACGCGGCAGGCCAGGTCCAGGGGCAGGGACCTGCTGTACAGGGTGAAGATCCTGCGGAGGGGCGGGCGGCAGGTCTGAGGGCCTGAGGAGGCGCTGTCCTCAGGCGACCCGGGAGGATGTGTGAGCGCAGCCCTGTGCAGACTGCAGGCTGTGCACCAGCACTGGCCACCGCTGCGTGCGCTCACCTCTGACAGACACCTGCCAGGCTCCTGCTGGGTAGGGCTGGGAGCTGCACATGCCTCGCACAGCCCAGCATCTGCCCAGGAGCCAGGGTGGCCCCTGAGTCTTAGCCTAGTAACTTCCTCTGGGTAGGAGTCAGCAAGGAAGCAAAATAAAAATGTGCCAGTTTTGGTTTGGTTTGAGACAAGATCCAGGCTGCCATGCTGCCTCAGTGGTCTGAGTACTGGGATTAAACACACGTTCCACCATGCCCAGCCTTCCTAGTAGAGATGGGTATTCCCTTAAGGATTATGACATTACCTGCAGGCTATCCAGCAACCCTTTCGAACCTGCTCGGGCCCAAGGGAGACACAGGAGGCCTCACAGTTGCCCTGTCCAGGGGTCCCCTCCCAGGAACAGCTGGACGCACAGTCCTCCCCGAGCTCCTGACACGCCGGTGCTCATCACAGTCCATCCGCTGGGTTTGCGCATCACTTGCCACCCCTGCCCCTCGGGGCCTTGTCCTGAATCCAGCGGTCTTAGTGAGTAAGTTCACGCTCTGCTGTAGGAGTCACTGGTGCCGCCTCACCACCAGCACCGCCTCACTGTGAGTGGCAGCTCCCAGCAGCTCCCCGGCCCTGGCCAATCCTTCTGGCAGTGGCTTCCCTACAGCCCTCAGCTTCCTCCCTGGCTCTTCCAGAGTTGGCACTGAGCTCTGATGCACCTGACTTCAGGTGCCGGGCTCAGCTAAGGGCTGACCCGGCCAGGAGTTACTGCCCCTAACCCCTCCCTGCGTGCCTCCTGGCCTGCTCCGTGCGGCCCGCTGTGACCAGCAGGATCTTCCTGCAGGCCTCTGCGCTGGGCCCAAGCCCACACACAAGTACAAAGCCAGGCAGGAGCACTCCACACTGTCCTCAGTGCAAACCTTCCAGGAAGGCGCACTGCACAGGTCCCCCGGCCATGCAACCATGCGGGGACCAAACCCGGACCACCGGGTGCCTCAGGCTGTGCAAAGCACTGCAGAAACAATCATGAGCCCAGCTGAGGGCCTGGCCGATGAGCTCCCCTGTCTCATTTTACTGAGGTTCAGAGCCTGCAGACAGATGATACATCCCGAGACCCCGAAGGTGGCCTCTAATAGGTGAACACGATTTAAAGCCACCTGAGATGCTGTTACACCATATATCGCAAGGCAGACCACAGCCACAGGCCCAGGACAAGCCCCTGACGAGTCCTCAGCCTGGGTTTCTTCATAGTTCAAAACCAGAAACTGCCATCATTTGGCCTAAAATATATGGTTCAAGAAAGTTCAGAGCCAGGTGCCGGTGGCTCATGCCTGTCATCCTAGCTACTCAGGATGCTGAGATCTGAGGATCTTGGTTCAAAGCCAACCTGGACAAGAAAGTCCGTGAGACTCTTATCTGCAGTTAACCACTAGAAAACCAGAAGTGGTGCTGTGACTCAATTGATAAGAGTGCTAGCCTTGAGCTGAAGAGCTCAGGGACAGTGCCCAGGGCCAGAGTTCAAGACTCATGACAGATAAAAAAAAGAAGAAGAAGAAGAAAGAAAGTTCAGAGAGATCTTGTGTTGACATCAGACTGGGCTCTCAAGCCTAGAGAGGGACCCCCCAGGATCAGATGTGCACTGGCCACCCACAGGCCAACCCTAAGCCACAGAAGTGCTTCGCAACTCTCTGACCGCATCAGAGCATGAAGTGGACACCACGGAATAGGGCTGGTGCTGGAGAGGGGAGGGCTCTGAGGCAGAGAAGGGGTCTTCCCACCCTTCATCTGTGTGCTGCAACTGGGCTGAGGCACAGCCCGCCAGGCCCTGCTGGGGAGAAAGGCTCCATTCAGCAGTAGCCGTTCTGGCCCGGGACCTCTCACATGCCATGGGAGTGCAGCTCATGCACACAACACTCAAGGCAGGACCCCAGCCCACGCAGACACTGGGTGGGGAGCTGCAGACATGGGACACCTGCTTCCAGACACTGTTTCCCAGGCATCTACCTCTAGGCGAGGCCCGAGCAAACCTTTTCTCTCCTCCAAAGGCCTCTCAGCACCCATTAGAGCCTGGACTACTGCAGACCCTTAGCAAACATCAAGTGTGGTGTCTCAAGCCTGTAATCCTAGCCATTGGGGAGTGGGGGTGGGGAGGTTGATCAGGGGATCATAGTTCAAGGCTAGCTGGCCACAAAGTATATGACTCTGTCTCAACCAATGGCTAGCTACTGTGACGTGAGCCTGTCATCGGGGAAGCACAAATAGGAGCTCACAGTCTAGGCCAGCCTGTGTATCTATAGTGAGACCCTACCTTGAAAATAACCACCACAAAAAGGGGCTGGAGATGCAGGCCAAGCGGCACAGCGCCTGCCTGCAAGCATGAGGCTAACCTCCACAGAGGGCGGCTCTGCTCCTGTCACACACGGCCCGTTCCCACAGGGCCATATACCTGCAAGTCAGGTGAGAAAGGTTCAAGATACTATTGGCCTTCAACAGAGCCCGAAGGCTCCAGCAGGGCGGTGCTTGGTAGGTGGCGTAACGGCCAGAGCCCTGGGCTGGCTGCCATCTCTGACGTCCCCGCACCTTCCTCCAGTGCTGGGTTCTAAACCTTAGGAATCCAAGGGGTCAGGGTTCACGGTCAAGTAAGTAGTATAGAGGCAGGCTGCCTATAATCCCAGTTGGGTGAGAGGCAGAGGTAGGTGGACTGCAGTCCAAAGTCGATCAGGACAATAGTGTGAGACTCTATCTGAAAAATAAACTGAATTCAAACCCTCGTGCTGACAGGGCAAGACAATGTAAAACGGCTGCAAGGGCGCCTGTGCGGTAAACCCTCATCCGGGTACAGCCCAGAGTCTGGCCGAGCACCCCACCTTCAGCCGGGGCCTGCTGCTCAGCCGCCTCCTCTCCCGTAGCCTGGAGTTGGGCCCCACCTCTACCTAGCGCTCGTCCGCAGCTTGGCAGTGGAGCCGGAAGGATCTCAGGTGAAGACGGGAGCACCTGGAATGTTCTGAATGCTCTGCAGCCCTGCACTATCAGGGGACTGGACCGTTCTTGGACGGATGCTTGGACTTTATCTTCAAGAGGCTTCTTGCCTCCTGAGGAGAGCGAGGTGAAAACCCAAGCCAGCCAGCGACTCTGGCCTCCCCACCGCTCTGTTTGCTCTGAGTTAGTGCTGAAATCCAGAAAACTCTCTCAGGATGCAGCTGCTCTGAAAAGCCAGTCGTCAGGGTCATCACATGAGAAAGCAGCAGGGAGGACTTCCCACCCTCACCGAGATCACGAGACAGCGTGGGAGACGCTGGGCGTGGTCAAGGCCACGGGGACCCTGAGACACGTCCACCGTGTGCCCACGGCACGCACACATCTCCAGACACACCGGGGATGGCAGCACCCACTTTCTCAGCAGCGACAACCGCTCCGCACAAAGACGTGCCTGGTCCACAGCACAGAATCTCCACAGCCTCTTATTCATGTGTCAGGGGGCCTCTACAGGTCCCCCAAAGCACCTCAAAACCAAAGTCCAAAGCCCAATCTCCCAGCTGCGGCCCCAGCAATCCCTCGCTGGCCAACGTTTGAGTGAACCAGGATCCTCAGGCAAGTCCACACGGCGTCCCTGCACCTGCCCGTCCGCCACTGCCCACTCGCCGCCTGCTTCTGCTTTCCCTCCCTGGCCTCTGTGCCTACTAGGCTGCCTGAAACTCACCTGGGCCCCACACAAGCCATCAACCATCCCCCACAGCCCTGAGCCCTGCCCGAGCCCTCAGCAAGGCTCCTGACACCCGTGTGGCCTGCCCTCCCAGACCCCCTCTGACAACCTCGGCCCAGCTCCACCCCAGCCCAGCCCAGCCACCATCGCCCCTGCCAACCCTCGAGGCCTCATGCTGCTTCCTACCCATCCACCTGCTCAAGTCCCACGTCCCCTCATGGACTCTGGTCCCCTTCCTTCCCTCTGGACTTGTGTCCATTCCCAGACAGCACCTGGGCCTACTGGACAGCACCGCGCCTGCGGCACACACCTCGTCCACGTGCAGCCTCGGCTGGCCGGCAGGTTCTGTGTCCTGCTCATCACCCACCCTGAGCCCCAGGTGGGCAGGGCAGGAGCCAGGAGAACAGAGAGAGCCTTGCAGGAGGCTCAGAGGGAGGGGCAGGGAGGACCGACAGAGCCGGAGGACGAGAAAACGCTCTGAAAACTATGGAAACTCAGCTTACCAATCAATTAGGTAGATGTCTGGAGTCAAGTTGTTCTTCTTGAAATGCGCAAATAGTTTTGGCAAATTTTCTTCAAAGAAAACCTCAAATGCAGCAAAATAAGTCAACATCTAGGAAGATAAAGTGAAATACATGAATGAGGTAATTAATCAGCCCAAGTTTCCCATCAACCGCAGTCAGGATACTTCCTTTACACCTTTAGACTCAACCACTGCTTCGGGCGGAGAGGCTGCGCATTGGAATGCCGATCCACTGGGGGCACGTCCAGCCCGCTTGTAATAAACACCATGCCCACCCCGACATCTGGTTATTCCTTCAGTTTCTAGAAAGGGAGGCTGAAACTGGCTAAGCACTGGTGCGGGGCAGTGCTGGGACCTGAACCGGGGCCTGTCCCAGGGCAGGGTGGCAGGCTCACGCTCACCTAAAGCCAGCTGCCAGCCCCCAGCGCTCCCAACAGGAAGGCAGGCTGGAGTCTGAGGGAAGCCAAGCACTCCAGGTCAATGTGCGCACCATGGTGGGGGACCGGGGGGGGGCTCCCCACTGAAGGGGAGCCCCTGTACCCAGGGGGGCCAGGGCAGTGGCACGGCTCACCCCCACCCGTGGTGTACACAGGCAGATCACTCATCTTCATGAAGGGCTGCACGAGTAGTGCAGCTGCACGAGTAGTCTGTCCCCCCTTCCCCCACCCAGGAACAGGCACCAACGTGACTGCTGCAGCGGCTGGAGAGGAGGTTGGCTTGTGAGCACTGTAAGCAGGACCATCTGGCCTCGGTCACTGCCACTGGAAGGAACCTGCCCCAACCAAAGACTCACTCGAGTTCCCAATTCTGCCTTCTCCTTAAAAAAAAATCAACTAAAGTGACTAAGGACAGTTTGTTTGGTTTGCTGATGCTAGGGCTTGAACTCAGAGCCCAGGCTCTGTCCCTTAGCATTTTCACCCAAGGCTTGTGTGACTTTTGCTGGTTTATTGGAGATAAGAGTCCTGCCAGGCAGGATGGAGCGTCTTCTGTGAGGCCTCCTGCCAGGCAGGACTTTAATTCCCATCTGCGTCCCCGTCCCCTCGGCTCCACTTTAGCCTGCTTTCCTCCTCACAGGGACAGCTGACCGGGCAGTGGCCGGCTCTGCATAATGCCTTGTCTGTAACTGGAACTCTCTCAGATAGACTCCTACAGGCAGAGCTGTGTGCCAGTGCTGCCTACAGCTTCTGAGACATGTCGTCACATCCCCGTCCCACGCAGCCCTGCTACCTCACACTCTGCTTACGGCCACAGTGAGGCTGCAGTTTCTGAGAGGGGACCCTCGCAGTCCTGAGGTCATGGAGGGGAGGAAGCACCCCCCAGCGGAAGGAAACTATCCAATCACTTGGGTCCTAAGATAGTAACTATCGGAAAATGAGGGCTATGTGGTTTAAAAGCTGATAGAGCCATTGAATTGGAGGCTCTAGAAAGAGCAAAGGCTGAGGACCTACAGCAGACTTGACCTCGGCTCCTCCCCACTCCTGAGGCCTCTGAGAGCAGTCACCACCCCCCCACCTCGAGTCTCCTTGTCCACCTGGACCACTCTAGAACTCAGCTACAGAGCATGTGGGGCCTTCCCAGGGCAGAGACCATGGACAGCAGCTCACTAAGCAGCTGTGGCCCTCAAACAAAGGCAAAGGAGCACAGTCCTCATCCTTCAGCCTGCGCTTGGGCTGAGTTCTGACACCATGTGTGCTGCTGCTTTAATTGACAGAGCCTGAGTCAACTCCAGTGCTAGCGTTCCTGACGTGCAGCACCTGTGGCTGCAGAGCTGCCTTCCTCCTCCCTAGTAAAGAGCAGTCTACAGAAGCACTGTCTTTCTCCAGAATGCACCCACACGTTCATCCACATGGCTACTGACCACGTGCTTCCATACTGAAGTTCAATACAGCATCCAAATAACCCTCTACCTTACAGAGGGCTCCAAATACATCTTTGTGGAAGAAACCACGCAGTCTCCCCTGAAAAGACCCCAGGGCGTGCACACAGAACATACTCACAAGGCTATGGTCCACTCGGAAAAACGCCATTTGACAGGGTTTATTCAAAAGATTAGAAAAAGCAATAAAGGCATCTGCAGTATCTAGGTTCAAGATCAACACTGCGGCTATAAAGGACATACCCTGAACCTGAGGGAGGAGAGAAAGGCATGTTAACCAAAGCAGACACAAGATCAGGGCAGTGCTTTCATTCATCCAACACCCGCACTACCAGGCCCGCAGCCATCCCTCACCACCCCCCAAGGCTCAGCTGCCAGCTGTCAATTTCAACCCTGAGCACTGCTCCATCCCTGCTCTGCTCTCCCCAGCCACACCCCTGTGGAAAACCACAGCCCAAACCAACTAGGCCCTCTGCACTCGAGACACGTGCTGCAAACGCTGCATCGTGGTGTTTAATGCATGCGCACACATCTGCTCGGCCACAGAAGGGTGGTTACTGCTAAAGGCTTTGCTGATTTAATGTTGGGGAAAATGCATGCACAACGTGACGTCACTTCCCGTGAGGGTACGATGACGCAGGTCAGCCAAGCCAGCCCTGTGACTGAGGAAACGGGAGTCTCCCAGGAGACGCTCCCTGCTCCTTAACATTGGGCCTGACGTCGGAGGCGAACAGGAGCCGGGCAACATTTTGACCTTCTTTGTAGATGATACCATTATACAATATTGAAAAAATGTCACTTACATAGCCCACATCTGGTCGGTAACAAGTATAAGCGCCCAAAATACTGTGCAACATGTCATGATATGGACCACCCTAGAAGGAGCGACAGCAAACAACACATGCGTGAGGACAGTTAGTCTCCAAAGGCATCACTGCTATGGCTGCAGCCACCGCGGCCGCCACCGGCTACCACTATTGGGAGGAACCGCCAAGCACCATGCCAGCAGCTCTGTATGTATTAGGCAGTGTAATAAATTAACTCCAAGTGAGGAGGCGCCTTGGGAGAAAGCTGGCCGGTCAGCTAGGTGTGAGCCTAGACCCCACATTCCCCATGCTCCCCATGGGCCTTTCCACCTCCCTTCCCCACCTCTGTTTCCTTGGCATCTTTCTGCATGACAGGCTCAGGGGGCACACAGATTCTGTTTCTGTTCTTTTGTCAGTTGTGGGGCTTGGAACTCTGGGCCTGGCACTGTCCCTCAGCTCTTTAGCTCAAGGCTAGTGCTCTACCACTTGAGCCACAGCTCAAGTGTTCTGGTGGTTCATTGGAGATAAGAGTCTTATGGACTTTTCTGCTCAGGCTGGCTTTGAACCGCGATCCTCAGATCTCAGCCTCCTGAGTAGCTAGGATGAGAGGCGTGAGCCACCAGTGCCCGGCTACAGCTTCTGTTTTGTTTTAGACATCCTCCCAGATCTCCAGCCCTCCAACATTTCCATTTATTCCTATAATGCTTCCAAAAGATGTGATTTTCCCACCTAATCAAGCACAGAAGAAAACCCAGAGCCACACCACGCTGCCAGCATGCTAGAAGATGCTACCCAGGGACTAGCTGGGCCAAATCAAACACCTACTGTCCACATCGACCTCATGCTTGTTGAGCATGGATACAGGCATTCTGGGAGGGGGACTGGAAGTCATCCCACAGGTGACCTGGTGCTTATAAAGGAACACAGGGACCAGACTAGTGTATCTGAGGTACAGAAAAGCCAAGTGAGAGAAAAGATACTTCCAAATCACAGGCGGACGAGAGAGGAAAAAGCAGCAAGAGCGAAAGACCACTAACCTAGAGTCAGGAGTAAGGGCAGTGGTAGAACAGACCACCAACCCACAGCCTGGAGGGGTGGGTGTTAGAGCCACCAACCTAGTACCTGGAGTGGGGCGGTAGAGCCAGTTGCCAACCTGGAGCCTGAAGTGGCTACCACCAGGTGAATCTGGCCCACGACTAAGGGGAAGAAGGGTACTGATCATTTCTTGACGCTCAATGGAAGAGATTTTCCACCACTCTAACTGGTGTAAGCAGACCCAGCTCCTCACTCTAAATGCCCCCAACTTACTACAGACACCTCATTCCTTTGGAGCCCTAAGATTGAGTATGACTCACTCATATTGAGTGAGACGGAAAAAGCCTCATGCAAAGGGGTTCGAAAGAGACAATCTTACCACCTCCACCAACCCCCAAAAGGACCCCAGAGCGCCTGCCCCGCATGGGAGCCACCCTCTGCTTCTCGAGGGGCTGCCTGGGAGCCCTCCAGCCAGCAGTTGAGAGTTCAGTCACAGGACACGTTCCAGCAGCAACCTCCAGAATGGAGGTCGGGAGCTCGGCTTCTGCAGGGCCTTTGCAGGCTCTGAGGGCTCCATGAGTCTGGAGCAGGGGGCGGTCACAAGGACCCCAGAACCATGCCTCTCACACAGCAGGACTGTTTGGGTAGAGCCTCCCAGCTGTCATCTGAGTCCCTCTTGCTGTCCCCCCCATGTGTGAGCGCCTTACAGGCCCTTCTTCTCCGGCTGGATTCAGCTGTCTTCTGGTTTCGTGTTCACAAGGTACGTAACATTTAAACAGCACCAGCGGAGCAGTGCTGTGTCACCTGCTGCCAGCCTCTCCTGAGGCTGCTGCCCTCAATCCTAGTCACAGATAAGCAAACTAAGGCTGTGAAGCTAGCAGGGAGGAAGGCAAGCTGGGATTCAAACCCAGATCTGTCTGAGATCAAAAGGAAAACCCATTTATCAAGCCACATGTTGAGGCCCCTCTAGGGCTGATGAGGAGGGACAAAAATCTCTCCCTGTGGGGTGGGGGAGGCTCAGGAAGAGCAAGCCTTTCCTCCCTGAGAGTAGCTGGGAGCAACTCTTGAGACTAGGGGACTCCGAAGCATGGCTTGGTCTGAGGCCTAAGGAAATGAATGGCCTGTGTAGGGAAAGACGTCAGAAGTCTCTCTGTAAGGAAGTCTGGGAAGCAGGCTGCCCAGCAGAGGCAACCACTGCTTAAAGCTAGGGCCAGACCTCCAGGTAGCTTTGTAGTCTTCTCTTCTGCAATGATTCCTGAAAAACCAAAAACCAAATGTTTGCAGCTGGGTTAGAACACAGAAGGAAGAGCGGAAGAGCACCCAGGAGGTACCCTGGGTCCTCACCTTACAGAGCGCTAGACCTGGACACAGTGAAAGCAGAATACCCCAGCTGGGGACCAGTGGCTCACGCCTATAATCCTAGCTCTACTCAGAAGGCTAAGATTTGAGGATCAAGGTTCAAAGCTAACCTAGGTAGGGAAATCCATGAGACTCTTAACCACCAGAAAACCAAAAGTGGGGCTATAGCTCTAAGTGGCAGAGCACTAGCCTTGAGCAAAAGAGCTCCAGGCCTTGAGATCAAGCCACATGACCAACAATAACAAAAAAGCCAGAAGTGGAGTTGTGGCTCAAGTGGTAGACCACCAGCCTTGAGCAAAAAAACCAAGGGACAGGACCTGGAAGGAAGGAATACACAGCTCCCATGGGCAGGGAGCAAATGGGAAGAGGGAGTAATGCAGAACCAAGACACCATATTACCAGGATGTGGCACCTTCTCGGCACACAGGCTGTTACATCACCTTCTAAAGGCAGCATCTGACAGCAACATCCACAGTACGCTAAGGAAAGCACCTCCTGTCCTTCCTTCCTGTCGCTCAGGCCATGATGCCAGCCCCACGCCAGCCCCCAGAGCTCTGCCTCAAGTGCTCTCAGTGCCGTTCCTCACCCACAGCTGATTGCCACTCCCAGCAGAGCAGGCTCTCCATGGGGGCTGTGCTGACTGACCTGAGTCCTCTCTGCTCATTCTTCGCAGGGAATTCCCTGACCACTGCTGGCCCATGCTCCTGACCTGTTCTGCTTCTCCCTGCGTGTTTTGCATTCCCTGTGAGACCACAGGAAACCTAGCCCAAGCACCTCCCAGTGGAGGACGGTGCTTCCCCGGAGCTGTCAATAACCAGATCCCTGCAAACCATGTCTAGACTTGGGTCAGACCTGTGTGTTCATTCAGCAATCACTGAATCTACTAGCCCTCTTGAGTCCACTTCTTAGCAGTGAGCTGTGGGGGTGGGGAGCGCACTAGTCAGACTGGAGATTCCAAGACTGCTTCTAGGGAAAGGAAGTGAGTGGAGGCAGGCAGGAGGCAGGAGGAAGGCTGCTGGAGTACCCCACAATGACAAGATTCTCATGTGAGAGAAGGTAGAGCGCGCACAGAAGGGACAGAGTAGAGGCTCTGGAACACAGCTAGCAACGCACTAGTTCTGATTGGAGAGGGATCAAGGCAGACGCTTGGTGGATGAAGGTCCGCTCTGCTGGGACTCTAAAACCCCCTGCTGGCAGCCTGGGCTGTGCTCAACGGCCCACAGGGAGCCTCCTCTTGTTCCACTGCCATCCAGAGAGATGTCACCTCCGCCCTGGCTTCTACCCCAATGGCGTCCATGCTCTAGTCCAGCAGCTTGGAAACCCCATTATCTTGGCTCTGCCGCTCCCCATGGAGTGTGAGCTGTAAGACCTCCTTTCACCTGGTTTGCTGCCCTGGCCCCTGTGAGACCACATCTGATGGCTTTGCTGAGCACACGGACCCTTCTGCACCACGGCACAGGACAGAATCAGCCATTCAAGCAGAGGTACTGCCACCACACCGCTTGCAAAGGACCCGTTACACTGACTTCACGTCCAAAAGAACAGCAGTACTACCCACCCTACTCTCCCCAAACTACCCTGCAAACCTGATTACAAATCCATGCAGCTCCACTGAGGAATTGTAGACAAATACACTTGCAACATACCACTACCACTTACTTGCTGGAAGATGCAGAGATTAGGGAATGTTCTAGAAATGTCCAGTTTAATAAGCTCCAGACTGGCCTCTCTGTCTGCTGCAGAAAACCCGGCATCTGTGAAGAGATGGAGAGTAGCGACACTGCTTGGAGCACACATGGGACTAGGCCTATCGTGGTCCAAAAGTTTTGCTTCGGTTAGGAGGAAAAGTACAAGAGCACTACCGCGCAACACGGCGGTTAATTATGCATATTATATTCCCCAAAATGCTAGGCAAATGGATGCGCTCAACATCAAATTTTAGCCATGCAAGGTAATACATGTGTTAATTGGCTAGACTTCCTCATCGCACATGTCAATATGCTTCCAAACATGATGAATGCAAGAGACATTTATATTATTTGTCACCAACAAATAAAACGGAATAAAAATGAAAGCAGAGAGCTAAGTGCTGTAATCCTAACTACTTAGGAGGCTGAAGATCTGAGGATTGTGGTTTGAAGCCAGCCTGGACAAGAAAGTCCATGAGACTCTTATCTCCAATCAACCACCAGAAAACAGAAGTGGAACTGTGGCTCAAAGTGGCAAAGTGTTAGCCTGGTGTAATATTTCTAACATTCATGACCAGCCCGTTGTTTTACATTTCTTTGACTTCCAACAGCACATAGGGCAGTATTTTAAAAACCCTCAGAAGGCCGATTTCCTGACCAGCAGACGTGGTGGTTCTTGTGCCTGGTGTCGGGCCTCCCTGCCTCTCAGGAGCAGACTCAATGACCCAGGCACCGGGCTATCCTACTGAGAATGGCCTTCCCAGAAATGGTAGTGGCTATGAGCTGACCTCCTGTGTGTTAGAGCACAAACGTCGGACAGGGGTGGGTTCTGTTGTTCAATTCCCTTTCAAAACAAACCTTCCCATGAGGCACCATAGGAGTCGACCCTACAGTTATGCAAGCTTTGCTTGCGGGGGCTAACTGGAAGGGGTTAACTGCCCACGTCTGCAGCACCGAGTCTCCCTGTGGTCTGTACCTTCACTCTCCACTTCTGAACCCCCTGTGCTGAGGGACCGCCACCGCTCCTTGGCCCGGGCCAGACAGATGTCAAAGAGTTCTGGAAGAAAAACCAGAGAGTGAGTCTCCTATTAGCATCTGTCCCCAGAACCCCAAAGAATACATAACTATTTCCTTCAAACGTAGGAGACTTGAACAACTCCTCCTCACTCAGCCTGCAAGTCCTTTTTATTACTGAGAGACACAGGCACACACAGAGAAAGAATACACATGCAGCCTGGCACGGTCTTCTTGACATAGCCCATCCACAGTTCGGTGCTCTGATTCACTGGGCTGGGCAATGCCTCTCCCAGGATATGAGGGCTCTTTCTCACCTGTGTCTACAGCCAATAGCCCCAGACAGAGTCAGAGCAAATGAGGTGTATCTGGCTGACAGAGGCGGGGCAGGCAGAGGAAGCAGCAGCAGCGTCTGGTTTCCAAGTCCTAATTCTAATTCAATCCTGAACGCTGCAATCCCCAAAGACAACAGCCTCTAAAATCCTAAAACATGTAACTCTCTAAGAAAAACATTTAAAAACTTCTTTGAAGACATGTATATTTTTAAGAGAATTTAGTTTAGAAATGCATAAAAACAACAAAATACTTTAAGGCCACTATATAATGAAGTAGGCAGAAATGTTTTTGTAAGCATACTCAGGAGTCCTAAGGGCGGCCACGTGAGTGTGACACATAGAAGCAGATGAACAATGTTCACACAGAAATCCACTCAGAAGTGAAATGCACAACACACTGAGCTCTGCAATTCAAACACGGAGGCAGACCGCGTGAGCCTTTTGACAAAGATTAAAAATCAAGGTGGGCCCAGAGCTGGTGGGACATGTCTACAATCCTAGCTTCTCAGGAGGGTGAGCTCTGAGGATGCAGCTTCAAAGCCAGCCTAAGCAGGAATATCCATGAGACATTCAGCTCCAATTTACCACCAAAAAGCCAAAAGTGGAGCTGTGGCTCTAGTAACAGACTGCTAGCCGTAAGCAAAAAAGCTAAAGAACAGCACATGGGCCCTGAGTTCAAGCCCCAGTACCCGCACTAGAAGGGCATGCCATGCTTCCTTCTCGGCAGACCTCCTACTCTTGCTACTGAAGTGAGGCAGGGGGAAGGAATGCCCGAGAGAAGCATCAGGTCAGTCTGGGAATCTCTGCCATCTGTAGAATCCGCTTTCCAGCTGCTCTTCTAAATGGTGGCTTGGGAACAGTTCAGTGACCCATGCTTACAAGTCTCATGGCCTCCCGTATATCCGTGTCCTGTGCTGCTTATTTTTTTTTTTTGGTCAGTCATGGGGCTTGAACTCTGGGCCTGCTCAAGACAAGCACTCTATCACTTGAGCCATAGTGCAACTTCCAGTTTTCTGAGTGGTTTATATTAGAGATAAGAGTCTCACAGACTTTCTTACCCTAGCTGGCTTTGAACCATGATTCTCAGATCTCAGTCTCCTGAGTACGTAGGTTTACAGGCATGAGCCACCAGCACGGGCTCCTGTGCTGCTTTTTACTAGACCCAGCACAGGGGGATTCCAGTGCCCAGCTGCCCAGCTCCCAGATGTCCTGGCCACTAGAGACCACGAGCTAATCACTGAGATATGAAGTGAAGCTACCCAAAAATGTTCACTTTATTTTTTTCCTTTAACTTTCAAAAAATGAAGCAGAGTACATCTGCCTTCAGGGCCAACCCCGCTATTTTATTACAGTGTAATGCAAATTCCAGTACACTATTAAAAGCCACTAGGTAAAAATCTTGATGAATGGCCCCGTCTACCTTGCAAAATCTGAGCCAGCCTGCAGTGGCAGGAGGGCATGGTTACAGAATGTAACTTCCTGTCATCATAACACAGAAGCCAAGGGTTCATGGAACAATTGTGGCATCCTGAGCTGGTGGGGGCAGCAGGGAGGACCTCCGTGTGCCCCAGCTTCCAGGAGGTAACCTGTGCTGCTATTTGGTAGGTGGATATAAAGGGCTGTGTGGCCTGTGACCACCAGGGATCTTTGTTCCAAGTGAAGAACTTGACCCTGGGAGGCACAGAGGCGGGTGGTCTCAGGGCAAGGCCAGCCAAAGTGTCAGGGCTAACACCTCACATAGGAGGTGCCTGCTTCACTGGCAAGGCCACTGGCACGTACCACGCCAAGGGTTATTATACCTTCTTCCCACACCCCTAACTCCAATTCAAAGTACCAGCCTGACTTGCACAGAATTGTTTTGTTGCTGTTGTTGTTTTGTGGATTATGGGGCTTGAACTCTGGGCCTGGGCGCTGTGCCTCAGCTCAAGGCTAGCGCTCCACCACTTGAGCCACAGTGCCACTTCCAGTTTTCTGGTGGCTTATTGGAGTTTCATAGCTTTTCCTGCCTGGGCTGGCTTTGAACCGCGATCCTCAGATCTCAGCCTCCTGAGTAGCTAGGATGACAGGCGTGAGCCGCTGGCGCCCAGATAGGAGTAAGTTTTAAAAGTCCTACTAGTTTTAGTTTCACTAAGTTTCCAATTACACAACCACAAACAGGGCAAACTGCGGTGCTCTCGAATCAGAATTCATACTTCAGAATCCTCCAGGTCTGGAATGGGAACCCTGGCTCCTCCCATACTGGGATATAGTATCTAACTCCTCCAGGATGGTAAAGTGTCTCAAGAGGAAAACTAGGTCATCAAGACCTGCCCAGAAGGGTCACACTCAGTGCCACGTAAGAGATAAAAGGAAGGAATGCGAGATGAGACGCAGCACTCAGCAATCAGACCCCCAGATCACTGTCTGAAGCTAGTGCAGAGAGGCGGTGAGGCTGGGGTCAGGGAGGCCCCACAAGGTGCCCAGCGCCTGCCAGGGTGGGCACTGGTGTCAGAGCCAATCGTCAGACAGTGGAGAGGGCTAATCACTCAGACATAGCTTAGAGGAAGGTTCAGACGAATCAGCTGCCCAGCCAGACCCACTAGATAACAGTGCAGCAAAGGCTTTCATTTAAATAAAATCAACCCAGACATCAGTGAGAACCAAAAATTAAGCACAGATGCAGCAGTTCTGCACCTAACAGCCAATTTGCACAGGCAGGGTTGTTGCTCAGAGCCTAGAAATTCTTTAAGAACACAGACCAAAATGAGTACTTAGCCACTTCTGCAGTGGTCACCTGAGGGTGATTTTTAAATCATACTTTCACACCATCCGTGTCATACTTTGTCATGTGTAAAGGCCCTGAAGATAAGTTCTGGCAGGTACGGATTTGGCCAGAAAAGGCGCTTTGAGGCTGCAGACTGCCCAGACCTCCCTTCTCAGATGGCCAATCACCACCTACCCCTCAGCTATGCTACTCAACAAGTCAGAGATAATCAAACCATTGAGATGCAAACAGCAACCTGACTGAAGCCAGAAGGTACAAGCTGTTCTGCCCCAAACTGGAAGGCTTTCACTGGCACAGGAGGGAGAGCAAGAAGGTGGGCCAGCCGGCCCTCAGCTCAGCTTCAGCTGGAAGGAACAGGAGAAAGCAGCTGCTCCCACGCCTGAGCTCCAAGCTCAGTCTGTGAGCTCCCGTGGCCTTGGGACACCCAGATCCCTGCCCAGCACTTGGGCCCAGCAGTCGGGCCCACCTGAGATTCACATGTCTGAGCTTCAGAAGTGAATCGGGGCACAAAGCACACAGTGACTGACAGCATGGGAACCCCAAGCATGACACTCCAGTCCAGTACCACAAGGACATCAGCCCTAGAGTGATATGCCGTCCACCCCGCCCCAGTATGAACAGCAGTCCAGCCACATGCCCCGCCAAGGCTCACCTTCTACAGGACTCTGATGAGGGTTCACGTTGGAGCCCCCAGCCCCACCCCATCCTGCTTTGTTCAGGACATCTGCCCTGGCCTCTCAGCCAAGTGAGACATCACGCACTGTGCACTACCCACCTCCCAACTGCCCTCTTAAAGATGCAGCTTCCTGGCAATGCTGTCTCTAAGGGACCAACAAGGACACAGAGGTTTCCCCTGGGCCTCAGACCTCGCAGGCCACTCACCGTGGGTGATGTTCAACTCATTGCCAATGGCCAAGCTCCAGACTTTGCCTCTCACACTTGGCGGGATTCCCTGCCACCACAGATCTCGAACTTTCCTAGAGCACCACCTGGAGAGAATAGGAACATGGTTTCTGAGTTTGTTCTCTGTGAAGAAAGGCTTGTCATGCCTCATGCCATTAGGGCTGAAAACACAGCAGCCTGGCCCTCAGGGAGCTCGCCATCTGGGCTGTCCCGCAAACCAGCAGGCTAGCCACCTTACAGAACCAAGTACAGAGTGAAGAACAGTAGAGATCACACACAGGACGGACAGGGTCACACCTGTAACTCCAGGGATCTGAGGATCGTGGTTAGAAGCCAGCCCAAGCAGGAAAGTTCATGAGACCCTCCAATTAACCACCAAAAATTCAGAAGTAGAGCTATGGCTCAAGTGGTAGAACACTAGCTTTGAGCAAAGAAGTTCAGGGATAGCACCCAGGCCCTGAGTTCAAGTCCCAGGACCGGTGAGCATGCGCATGTGTATGTATGCGCACACACGCATACACCTGCAGGACTGCAAACAGCTGGATGTGGGCAAGGAGGGTCAGATGGCTCTGCTGAAGAGCGAGAAGTGGAGGGGAGGCCCCCAGGGGTTTTTCAGGGCAGCCCTCAGGGCCAGGAAGGGACAGCCACACACTATATAGTTCATCTCACCCTGAAGGTAGGGCAAACTTACTGAGTACATTCTAATGGCGCCATCGTCCTTCACACTGATCACAATGAACACACCCTGCCAAAAGACTGGCCGAGGGCACAGGCGCCAGCCCCACATGTCCTCCTGAGCCCGGCTCGGCTGTGAGCGGCAGCCCGGAGGCTGTCAGAGTGCATCCTGACCCCACCAGACCTGTGGGTGTGCAGCCGCTTGCTTCTCCTCACCCTCTGAACTCCAGAAGCTAAGCCGGCCCCTCCCTCAATGCTGCAACACGTAGCACCTGGGTAGAGCACAAAGCACCCTGCATCATGCCCGGCACCGGATGGCAGCTATTGCATGTGCCTCCGGACCTCCCCTCCTGGGCAGGGTGGGAAAGAAGGGGCCACACACATCCTGCAAGGTCTGAGAACCTCTGCTTTGATTACAGGGCCTTGTTTCAGAAAAAGCATTCAAGGTTTGCTGGCAGTATCCAGCCTCTGAGGGACACTATCTAGAACAGCAAGCTCTAAGCACAGTGTGTTTCCCCAGCAGAGACCTCAATAGGCTGTCTGGTCCCTTTGTGACACCCTGTGAGTGTAAGGAATCCCCAGCACTGTGCCAAGAGGGACGAGAGTGAGGGACCCTTGCTCCCCACCAGCCTCTCCATGGACCTGGCACTGCTACCTCCACACTGGCCTCTCCTGCTGACCAACAGGAGGAAAATGTAAGGTCCAGCTGGCCCTCAGAAGTGAGGATGCCACAGCTGCAGCAGACCCCACCCTGTGTGCCCCACACTGACCAGGGGGCCACATCAAAGACAGCCCAGAGTCCACCCTCAGAGAGAAGCAGCTGGAGCACACAGCCTCCACACCCCAGGGTGGTCTTCCACAGCTTAGACCAGGGTGGGGACAGGAAAGCCCTTCCTGGGGAGACTGAGCCCTCCAGAACAAAGAGGAGTCAGCAGGGTGAAGTGGTCCAGGACCAGATCGATTGTAGGCACAGGAAACAGGGCGTGCAAATGTCCTGAAACTGAAAAGCAGCAACTCCGGCTGGGGGCCCCCTGGGGCTGCAATCAACGGAGTAGAAAAGGAAGGAGGCGGGACTGCCATCTCACTAAGCTAAGCTAGAGTTTTTATACGGAGAACCACACCAAGCCACTGAAATGGGAAGTAGGGGGCACACAGGTGTGGGTTACGAAGTCAGTACAGGCTACTGAGCAGATGAATGGAAGGAGCCGTCACAGCGGCAGGCACCATGTGGCTGGGCCAAAGCAACTGAGGCCAGTGGCCCACAGCTCAGCAGCGCTGCACAGCCGCAGCTTACATGGTGTCCCAGTTGGGCAGGATCTCATTATTCCACGTAAGCACAGCGTTCCCGATGCTCTCTTCCACTCGGCATCGTTCCTCCAGCTGCTTTTTCCTCCGCTGGGCTTCTTTAAGCTCTAGAAACCACAGCAAAAAAAAAAAAAAAAAAAGAGAGAGAGAAAACATCCATTAACCAGTACCCACTACATTCAAGCCAAAAGATTTCTCTCAAGGGCTGGGACGGTGGCTCAGTGGTAGAGCGCTTGCTTTGCATGCCTGAGGCCCTGGGTTCGATTCCTCAGCACCACATTTACAAAAAGAAAAAAGCCGGAAGTGGCGCTGTAGCTCAAGTGGTAGAGTGCTAGCTGTGAGCTGAAGAGCTGAGGGACAGCGCCCAGGCCCAGAGTTCAGGCCCCACGACCAGACTCCCCCCACCCGCCCCCCCAAAAAAAAGATTTCTCTCAAAAGAGTCAGGCTGCAAACACCAGGAAATCATGTAGAAGCAGAGCAAATGTTAGCTCCCAGGCTCCCTGCACAGCCATGGAAATACCTTCTTTATTCACTTATTTACTTACTTAGTTTGAGACAGGGTCTCGCTATACAGTCCAGGGCTCACACTTGAGCTCTGTAGCCTCAGGCTCCTGAGAGCTGGACTGATAGGCATGCACCACTAAGCCCGGTCCCTCAGGGATTTTAGAATACTAGCTCCATCCATCTGTTAGTGTTTTAATTATATAGTTTATTTTGATTTCATTTTTTGAGTGCTGACCCTGGGACTTGAACTAAGGATCTGGGCATGGTTCCTGAGCTTTTGTGCTCAAAGCTAATGCTCTACCACTTGAGCCATAGCTCTACTTCTGGCTTTTTGGTAATTAACTGGAAACAAAGAGTTCATGGACTTTCCTTCTGGACTGGCTTTGAACCACGATCCTCCTCAGATCTTAGTTTCCTGAAGAGTTAAGATTGCAGCCATAAGCCACCAGTACCCAGCTAGTGTTTTAATCATAACATAGGCACAGAGAAGTATATAAATACTAACATGATCCAATTTACACAAAATAGTGAAGCCCATGAAGCTGTCCCAACCTAAGCAAGGCAGATCTCCAGAAACCCTTCTAGAGGTGTATCTGCTCTACTCTTCCCAAGGTGACCTCTAGGCTAAGCTCATTCCTAACAGTGCCTAATGGCTTGCGCCTCTCTCCTATATAGCAGGAGTACTCAATTTACACACACTAGAGCAAACGCTGCATTCCACATCCCAATTCAACCAACCGCACATGGGAAATATGGGGCGGGGGGGTGGGGGGTGAGACACAGACACACATCACATTTTCTTTTTTTGGGTCCGGTGGTGGGGCTTGAACTCTGGGCCTGGGCGCTGTCCCTCAGCTCTTCAGCTCAAGCCTAGTGCTCTATCACTTGAGCCACAGCGCCACTTCCGGCTTTTTTCTTTTTGCAAATGTGGTGCTGAGAAATCGAACCCAGGGCCTCAGGCATGCAAGGCAAGCGCTCTACCACTGAGCCACCTTCCCAGCCCACACATCACATTTTCTGGTCATTAGTTTCTAAATAATACACAGAACAACCACACCAAGCACTGAGACTATGAGAGGCATTCGGTGATCAGAGACAACTCCAAGTCCATGGAGGATGTGTGGTTCCGACACAAATGTATCTTACACAGGAGACTTGGGCACCAGAGTCCAGGACCCACAGGGGCAATGAATTTCAGTCCATAGACACAAGAGGGACAACTGTATTTCTCTTGTTGTCTTTTTGGTGGTGGTCCTAAGGCTGGAACTCAGGACCTCATGTTCTCGCTTGGCTTTTTTGGTCAAGGGAGACAGTCTACCACTTGAGCCACAGCTGTACTTCCAGCTTTTTGCTAGTTAACTAGAGATGTGTCTCATAGACTTTCCTGTTCAGCCTGGCTTTGAACCATGATTCTCTGATTTAGATATGAACCACCAATGTCCTGCTACATTTTCTTTTTGAGGCAAAATATACATTACATAGAATTAAACTACTTCAGCTAGGCAGTTCATTAAGCATAGTAACATCGCCAAACCACCATCACTACCATCCAGCTCCAGAACCTTCTCATCTTCCACATAACTGAAACCCTGCCCCTCCCCCAGTGCCTGGCAACTCATGATCTATTTTAAAAAAATCTCTGTGAATGTGACGGCTCCAGGGGCTCATCATCAGTCGGATAAGACAGTATTTGTCCTTTTATAACTGGCTTATTTTACTTATGATGATCTCCTCAAAGGCTCACTCCTGGGTAAGTAGTAGGTGTCAAATTTCTTTCCTTAACCTATTATATTTTAAATATCTATAGAGGATTTTAGGTATTATGAGGGCCGAATTCTTTCCTTATAGAGCCCCTATTCTTGTGTGAGCTTTTAGTGTTTCTACCTTGCTACCAGAAACAGGTAGGAGAACATTCTTTTTTTTTTTTTTTTTGAATGGGAAAACCATACATTTTAAAGCATTAAACCAAACACTGGGCAAAGTCGAAGCTCTGTAGCCCCAAAAGCAAAAGACAACAGCTCGAGGCAGAGAGGGATGCTTGCAGTACCTCGTTTTTTGGCCTGCACCACCATTTCTTCATACTGCTGCCTGTGCTTCTGTGCTTCTTCAGCTGGTTTTGCCGGGAGATTGCTTAACAGGAAAGAAAGGGTTTTCCACATTAGAAACATATAGATATAGATACAGATATAGACATAGATATATACATAAATATATATATATATGTAAAAGAGCCTGAGAAAAAAATATCTGAAGCATTATTTATAAAAGGGTGTAGGGGCTGGGAAGGTGGCTCAGTGGTAGAGTGCTTGCCTTGCATGCCTGAGGCCCTGAGTTCGATTCCTCAGCACCACATAAGCAAAAAGAAAAAAGCCGGAAGTGGCGCTCTGGCTCAAGTGGTAGAGCGCTAGCCTTGAGCTGAAGAGCTGAGGGACAGCGCCCAGGCCCAGAGTTCAGGCCCACGACTGGACCAAAAAAAAAAAAAAGGGTGTAAAAGCTAAAGATCACAACCTCAAATTATTTTTTAAATATACAGTTCTTTTATAAACTGAGAAGTACCGTTTTACAAAAGTAAAATGCTTACTTTAAGAACAACTAAATTAACAGGTACTGGTGGCTCATGTCCATAATACCAGTTATTCAAGAGGCTGAGATATGAGAATCACAGTCCGAAGCCAATGTGGGCATGAAAGTCTATGAGATTCCTATTTCCACTACCCAAAATGCCAGAAGTTGAGCTCTGGCTCAAGTGGTAGAGCACTAGCCTTGAGAAAAAAAAAAAAAAAAAA